ACCATGAATAAATTCAATGAGGCAAGGCCCCTAAACAATCTATAGATAACACAATCAACAACTGTTAACACTTAACATACAGGAGTTTACATTACACAAACCCGTCTTAAGTTTTCAGAGGCCCTATGAAGGTTACTCACAACTTAAAAGTGGCGAAACAAATAGGAGCCTTATTTTGCCACGGTTTAATCGAGACTCTATTTAGCCATGGTTTAATCTATGACATAATCGGGGATACTTCAACTCTTCAGTAATCCTTCTATTTATAGGGGGTGAAAGTTGAGCTCTCTAGGAGTCAAGATACATTAATTCACCTCGTACAATGTACCTCTTAAATTTTCGCTTTATTAGGAAATTTGAATTGATTTCCTAAAATTTTACTTCCTCTAAGTATTAAGTCAATTCCTTTATGCTTGGCAGACTCGATGCGATGGACTAGAAATGAAGGAGGTATGAATTCTCTCATCTGAATTTATTTTCATAAAAATTGTGTTTAAAATGAGGATTTTCATAGTATTGTTTTGAATTGGCATCAATCTCACTTTGTCATTGTACTGTAATGTTATGCTAATACCTTTTCCTCCTTTCTGTTTTTGCAATACTTGATGTTTTGCAACAGTCATACGAGGTTAACTCAAAGGGCGTTGAAATCTTCTACAAGAGTTGGCTTCCTGGAACTGCCAAGCCGAAAGCAGCTGTGTTTTACTGTCATGGTTATGGAGACACTAGCACCTTTTTCTTTGAAGGCATGTGGTAGCCGGTGTTGTTAAGTTCTCGTTGCTACAAGTAACTAGATAAATTACATTGTCGATTACTGACTCGATCGACTCGATGCTATCATGAAATATATTTGCAGGAATAGCTAGAAAATTGGCATGTGCTGGATATGGAGTTTTTGCTATGGATTATCCAGGATTTGGTCTTTCAGAAGGTCTTCATTGCTATATTCCTAGTTTTGATTCGCTAGTTGATGATGTCATCGAGCTTTACTCCAAAATTAAAGGTAGTGTACATGAAGTTATGCTGCATCATACAAAGATTCGTGTATATCCTTACGAAAGTTTTGGTTTGTTCTGCAACAGAAAATCCAGAATTCCGTTCTCTTCCAAGCTTCCTCTTTGGACAATCCTTGGGAGGAGCGGTTGCCTTAAAGATGCACCTTAAACAACCTAAGGCATGGGACGGCGCTGTTCTTGTTGCACCGATGTGTAAAGTAAACATTTCCTAAACAAATTCATGTTACGAGTTTTGGTGGGATTTTTTACGATCTTCTTTTAACCAGATACTTTATTTATATAGATTGCAGATGACATGGTTCCACCAAAGTTGCTAGCTCAGATTCTTATCGGCATAGCTAATATTCTACCAAAACAAAAGTTAGTTCCACAGAAGAATTTAGCAGTTGCAGCATTTAGAGATCTGAAGAAGAGAGAAATGGTTCGTGTATCCTAATCTATATAAACTTTGGTTTTTCACTTCAAATCTTTGCATTAACGAGTAATCATACTTTTCCGTTATCTATGTGCAGACAGCTTATAATGTTATCGCTTACAAAGATAAACCGCGTTTGTGGACTGCTGTCGAGATGCTTAAAACGACTCAAGAAATCGAACAGAGATTGGAAAAAGTATCTTTGCCATTGTTAATCCTTCATGGAGAGGCTGATATTGTGACTGATCCGTCGGTGAGCAAAACATTTTATGAGAAAGCTAGCAGCTCAGACAAGAAGCTTAAACTTTACAAGGATGCTTACCATTCTCTTCTTGAAGGGGAGCCTGATGAAATGATAATACAAGTTTTTAGTGATATTATTATATGGCTTGATGAACACAGCTTGAAACATTCTTCATCTTCCTCTAATTAGTTTATTTTTTGTGTATTTGTATGAATATTGAGATTGTTCTCTTAATGGAGAAAAGGAAGGTTTCCATTGTTTGTACATAATTTTTTGTTAAAATAATGAATAACGAGTGTATTTCAGAACATATAGGTTAATTAGCATTCGTATTTTAGAATTCATTAAATAATTGTGTAAAATTAGAGTTTGGTGTAGGTAGTTTTTGATTAGGCTCTAGTTTTTGGTGTAGGTAAATAATTGTGTAAAATTTAGTTTTTGAAAAATTAGATTTAAGTTGGTGTAGGTAGTTTTTGATGTTAACAGGCAAGTGGCAAGTGAGAGAGAGTTTGGTTCAACTTTGGGATCCAATACCTAAAACACTTGCCTATTATGATATTAAGGAATGAAAGGTGTATCTGTTTTCCTACTTCCCAGGACTCACTCTCTGCATATGGCTCTCAATATTTCAAATCCTTTCAGGTTTCACCATTCACAAGGTACTTTCAAATCACCCGACAAAAAAATCGATTTTGTTGCTTTTTCATGCGGGGTGTGTGAATTTTATTATATTTGATTTTCTCGTCCTTAGGCTCCAAGCATGTAGAATTCAAGTGTTTGTCACCGAGGAGACATGCAAAGACATTGGCTATGGCGACTAGGTTTCCAGGAGTTGACAATGAACTGCAAAAGATTTTGGATGCTGATATGGATCATGTTTCGGCTAGAAGACGAGCTCGTGAGTCCTTCAAAGATATTCAGCTTGGGATTGATCACATACTATTTAAAGTATGTATCTATCTATATAATATGCCTTTACTTTCATTAAAATTTGAATTGATTTCTGATTTTTTTGCTTTGCAGACTCGATGCGATGGACTGGAAGTAAAGGAGGTACGGATTCTTTTGTCTGCAACGATTTTCAAAGAAGTATATTTGTTTTTAAAATGAGGCCATTTACATTAATACTATGATTTGCAACAGTCGTACGAGGTGAATTCGAGGGGTGTAGAAATCTTCTACAAGAGTTGGCTTCCTGGAATTGCGAGGCCGAAAGCAATTGTGTTTTACTGTCATGCTTATGGAGACACTTGCACCTTTTTCTTTGAAGGCAAGTAATAGATGATGTTAAGTTTTGGTTGCTACAAGTAACTAGATAAGTTATTACAGTGTCGGTTACTGACTTGGTCGACTTGATCGTTTCTGCAGGAATAGCAAGAAAACTGGCGTGTGCTGGATATGGAGTGTTTGCTATGGATTATCCAGGATTCGGTCTTTCAGAAGGTCTTCATTGCTATATTCCTAGTTTCGATTCACTAGTTGACGATGTCATCGAGCTTTACTCCAAAATTAAAGGTAGAGTACATGAAGTTATGCTGCATCATACAAAGATTCGTGTATATCGTTACTAAAGTTTGGTTTGTTCTGTAACAGAAAATCCAGAATTCCGATCTCTTCCAAGCTTCCTCTTTGGACAATCCATGGGAGGAGCCGTTGCTTTAAAGATGCACCTTAAACAACCTAAGGCATGGGATGGCGCCATTCTCGCCGCACCGATGTGTAAAGTAATCAGATTCAATTGTTTGGATTAGTAAATAATGGATGCTGCGGAACGGAACATGATTGAATCCATTCCATCTTATTCCATCAAATCCTTCAACTTGGAGTGTATGCAATGGAATGAACTGATTTGTTCGGTTCTATTCCATCAAATTATATAAAATACACAAACAAGTGGAATGAATCTCTGTTCCATTCTGCTCCGCTCCACTCTATTCCGCTCCGTTCTGTTCTAGTCCATCAATCTAAACATAGCCTCAAACAAATTCATGCGCGGAGTTTTTGTGGGACATTTTCCGATCTTCTTTTGACCAGATAATCTATCTATGTAGATTGCAGATGGCATGGTTCCACCAAAGTTGCTAGCTCAGATTCTTTTCGGCATAGCTACTATTCTACCAAAGCAAAAATTATTTCCACAGAAGAAATTATCAGTGGCAGCATTTCGAGACCTGAAGAAGAGAGAAATGGTTTGCGTACCTTTGCATTCAGTTTTTCTCCGCAATTTGCATAATAGTGAATGATCATACTTTTCTGATATCTGTGTGCAGACAGCTTATAATGTCATTGGCTACAGAGATAAACCGCGTTTGAGGACAGCTGTCGAGATGTTTAAAACGACTCAAGAAATCGAGCAGAAATTGGAACAAGTATCTTTGCCATTGTTAATCCTTCATGGAGAGGCTGATATTGTGACTGATCCGTCGGTGAGCAAAACATTTTATGAGAAAGCTAGCAGCTCAGACAAGAAGATTAAACTTTACAAAGATGCTTATCATTCTCTTCTTGAGGGGGAGCTTGATGAAATTATAATCCAAGTTTTGAGTGATATTGTTTCATGGCTTGATGAACACAGCTTTAAACATTCTTCATCTTCTGATAAATAGTTCATTTTCTGTGTATTCTATTAATTTATTAATATCAACCTGTTTATTGTAATACATAAATGTTTTTGTCAAAGATTCAAACCTAAACAAATAGTTTATATCTATTTAAATAAATGTAGCTGTTGGAAATTGAACTTTAGACTAAACATATGTCTCAACTACATTCTCGACTATTATAAAATAAAATAAAAAAGAATTTAGATTCATTGAATTAATGTATCTAATATATAATAATTATCGGATACATCATTTATTCAATGAATATAAAAATATTTTTTTTTCTTTTAACTGTGACCAAAGAGTATAACTCATATTTGTTTTTTTTTTTATCATATAAATATTGAGAATGATCTTTTAAAATTTTTTTTTTATTATTTATTATAATTATCTCTGATTTAAAAGATTAGTCTATATAATTACACGTAGAAGATAAATCCTTTATTAAAAAAAAAACTTTTTCAATACTAGTAGTTTTCAAAATAAAAAATGATTAGCATATTAAAAATATTGTGTTTGATGTATTATTAGATAGTTCACACACATGGAGGCTTTAGAAAAGACAAAAGAAATGATAGTGGAAAACTGAAAACTTTTTGTTCCAATATTAGCCAACTTTTTAACTTGTTTATCTATCTTCATCTTCCACACAACTCCAACTATATGAAGAAGTGGCCATTGTTGTTGAATCTGTTATTCACTATCCTTGTTTTGCTTCACCCATGTCTTTCTCTTCTTTCTATTCTCATTCTCCATTACTATTCAATAAGGTACACTTTTTTTTTTCTTTCTGTTTTTCAATTATTTGCACATGCTGCTTTGTAATCTTATCTGCATTTTTCTTGTTTTTTGGTGGATTTTTTTTGTACCCTTTTATTTTAATTTAGTTTTTTTTCAAATGGGGTTTCTGTTTGAACCTTCAAGTTTTGAACTTTGGTTGTATATATATATCTGAAATTGAAAATTGTTTGCTTTCTGTCATTGATTTGAATCACCAATGCATTATAGATCTGATGCTAGGTGCATGTTGGTATATTGATGATAAACTATGTAGATCAACACTTTAGATTGACGGTCGGCCGATACCAATAGAACACTGACACATGTGGTTACACTTAATCATTTTATTAGAGTCGTGTTCAGTGTCTGTGTCTGTGCTTCTTAGGTAGTAAAATGTTTATATTTCAAAAGTTGGCTCTCTAGTGTCAATAAACTAACTTATGCATCATTGAGGTATTTGATGTGTCCGTGTCTAGCACCAACACAACATCGACGCATGTAGTTACATTGAATCATTCTATCTTCTCAAATTAGGATTGGTGTTGACGTGTCACTATCCTATTTGGTGTTCATGTCTGTGTCAGTGCTTCGTAAGAGATGGGTTTGTTCAAGTAGTCCTTGCATATTGAGCTGTATGATTCACCTGCACAAACTATGATATTTCATATCTTAGCTCAATGTAGTTCATTTAGTCTAATTGATTGATCATCACTTGGGGCAGGATATAAAACTCTGTAGGACAGTTGGACAAGAGAAGCTGTGTTTTCCTTTCTCTATCAGGAGTAATGATGTTGACCCATGCACGCGACGCATTTCGAGAAGTAGAGCCGGCTTAAGTGGAGATTGGAGTTTCATAGGAGGATCCAAAATTGTCCTAAAACCTAAAGCTACAACGTCGTTTCGCAATCCAAAAAGAAGTCAAATACATGCTTCATGTAATAATCTCTTTTCATGCTGCTTGTTCATGTAATCAATAATTGGTGCAAGCAGTTTCTTGACAATATTTCTTCTGTATATTTATTCATTGTTCGAGCTCGATGTTTCAGGGTTCATAGGATCTCAACTCGCTAGCACTGTGTTTACATGGGGAACAATCGCAGTACTCCCGTATTACACGCTTATGGTTTTCGCCCCGAAATCCGAGCTAGTATGTTTGATTAGTGATTGCAATCCACTTCATTTCATTTATCGGGTTATGATTCTGATATCCTGATTCATTTTTCTGAAATGCAAAATTACAGACCAAAAAGTCTATGGAAAGTAATTTACCGTATGTAGTCCTCGGCATTCTATACGCTTATTTGTTGTTCCTTTCTTGGACACCTGAAACGACTCGGTTGATTTTTGCGAGTAAATACTTACTACCTGAGGTGAGTATTCATTCATTCATTCATCGATGAAGTTTATGTTTTCTTTCTCTAATGAGTTCTATTATCTAACTCGTAACCGTTTATATTTGCGTACTCGATCATGCAGCTTAGTAGCATAGGAAAAATGTTCTCTAGTGAGTTGACTTTAGCCTCTGCTTGGATTCACCTTTTGGTTGTTGATCTTTTTGCTGCAAGGTTCTGTATTTTATCTTCCTTTTTGTCTTCAGATTTGATATTTTGACAACAAAAATCGACAACAATTTGGATGAACGGCGTCCAAATATATGGTTAATCACGTTCAGTGATTGGTCGATGAATACAACTCAAAATTAATCATGTATTTGAGTCGCATTAACTCTAAATTGTTGTCGAATTTTGTGTCAAAATAACACACCTGTTTCTCATTCTTTAGCTATTTTTTCTGATAGTATTTGTGGTTTGAAATCCAGGCATATTTTCTGCGATGGAATGGTGAATCAGATTGAAACTCGGCATTCGGTTTCCTTTTGTTTGTTCTTCTGCCCTATAGGGATTCTTACTCATATCATTACCAAAGCAATGTCCAAAACTACAAGAACAGAGGGTCATGGTTTATAAATGATACCTGCTTCAACAGAAGAAAACAACTATTTTGTTTCAAGATTAAGAAATTGAATGTCATGTTTAAGTTGAAGTGACTTGTAGTTCCATTGGAACATTTTTCAGTCTTCAATCGGAAATTTTACTTAATTAGCTGTTTGTTCTATCTTAAGTGTATCTAGCAAGACTGAGAGTGAAATACTTCTATTATCAATGTTTAACAAATCAAATCGAACTGTGCAGTTTAACAGATAGAACCATGAATCAACATTGTCTACGATTTGGGTATTTGAAACAATTCGGCTGCGGTTTCTTTTCGGTTCAAACGGTTTAACACAGTTCAATTCTATTCCAAATGTCTCGCGAAATCAATGTACGATCTGGTTATTAAATCATCGGTATCAACAATACTTCAGCTGCAATAAGAATCATTAAATCTATGGAGAGAAAATTGAAGAGCATCTAAAAATACATTGGAAGCACAATCATATTACAAAGAAGTTAAATATTCCATAATTTGTTCAATAAAGTAACTAAAAATTAATTGTAGAATCATACATTACAAGATAAACATTTAAAACATGTTTCAAAAGCTAAGTAAACTTAGTTTTCTTAGACTTTACTTGAGGCTTCTTAGCATCCTCATCATCATCATCATCGGAAGAAGCTTCTAACGACTCGTCAGGAACATCTTGAGGAACATTATGCTTTGTTATGAAATCCTTCAATACGGCCATGCTTTGTTCTTTCAGGTTAACTAGTTGCTCTGATAATGAAGAACCATTGGTTGCCTTAACAGAATATGATTCTGCACCTAGGCGAAATGTGGCATTAACCTGAGGTCTTGGAAGCACTGCATCGCATGATTCGGTTTCCATCTCTGTATTTTGATTAGTTAAAGAAGCAAATAAGACAGTCAATCGCTTGATTACTTAAAATTAGCACTGATTACTGATGTATGAAGGATACTAATCAAAGACAATAGAACAAAGTAAATATTATTGGCTCAAAAATATATCAGAATAGATCTAAAGCAACCACTGTTTCGAAACGAACCACGTGTGGCAGTGATAAAGGTTATCGGATGGAACTATCTATTCACAGTCTCATACTGTAAGGCTTTGTTTCGTAGTTTAAAGGAAAAGACGAAAGCTATAAAGCGTTGGCAAAGACACGACACTACATTTACACATCAATACTAATAATAGCTTAACAATCTCTGAACAAGTGCTTATGCCAGGACATAAACTCAACCAGCCAATCCAAACAAGTCCTAACTAACTATCAAGAAGGTCAAATCCTCAAACATTAAGCTAAAACTCAACCCAATACCTTCAAACATACAGAGTTTAAAAGTTAAGCACCCAAAAAACATACAGAGACATTTCATCAAACAGTTAATATGCACAAATAGCATAGATAATTGAAAATGAAAACTCATCGACATGAAAGAAACAGTGAAGAAAAGGAAAAAGTTTTGCCGGTTATTACCTTTGACTCAGAATCTATTCAAGTGGTGATAGAACGACAGAACTCGGTTTCCGTTTTATGTAACTGAATCAATCTAATTTGGGCTTTGAGATCCAAACCAACAACAATGTTTTTTCTACTTATATTTTTAGAAAACAAAAAATAAAGGATGTTATTATGTAAATATATAAATAAAGATTTACTTAGAAATTCTATTAAATGATATGTGAAAAAATAATAATAAGATTTTTTTTATTAAATTTTAATGTAACACTTATTTATATTAATAATAATATGTGAATTTAACATTTTTTTCAATGAGATAATATAATATAAAAAAAGAAACTGAAACAAAAGTCAGAGCGGAGATTATACCAAAATCATCTTGAGAAACGAATCTAAAGAAAGGTAAACCAAACCTGTTTTTTTACAATATTTGTCCTAAAAAAATAGGAATCAAATCAAATCTAATGGAACTGTTAACCGAAAAGCTTATATTAACTAGGGAATCAGTGCATCTATTCTCTTCCATATAAATGTGGGAAGACACAAAAGAAAAATTAATAGTACTATTAACACAGTTAACCCATATGGTACGAATCATCCAAGGGACAATGGACGGGGCTTTGAAAGCGTGCACCACCGCCAAAGAATTAGATTTTAACCATAAACAATTCTAACCCTTCTCAATGACGAATCCAATTGTTAACATAGTACCAGAAAGTTCGACAATAAGAGAGTTGGAATCATCCAAAAATTGAGCAAAGACTCCAAGGAACATGTCTTCAAAGTCCCTAGAAATACCACCACAAGCAGAAGGGTCTGGATTATCAATTGAAGCATCGTCACAATTAATTTTAACCTTTCGGAGGAGGGGGTTTTCAAATGACTTCATGAATAATGGGAGCTTTAAAAGGCTACATTTTAGCATTGAATCTTTTAAGCAACCCAAAATCATGCATATTGATGAAATAGAAGTGACCCTGGAACAACTCGCAAGAATAGAAGAAATAGAAGAAGAGATGTTGATGACTTTTTCTTTGAAGCGGATCAAATTTCTAGCAAACCAAACAACATTAAAAAGATGGATGAAAACAACATTTGAGATTACCTTACATTGCTCAGACTAGCCTCTATCGCAAATTTCCCAAACATCTTCCCAATTATGAATGGAGAAGTTCAAATCCATATTTTACAAAGCCAGTTCCATAACATTGTCGCATAGGAGCAATAAAAAAATGTGAAATTGTTTCCTCTGACCGATTGCAAAGACTACATTTAGATGGGAAAGTAAAATTACGCCTCTTAGGTTGATCATTCGTCGGAAACTTGTTCTAGAACAGTCGCCAAACCAAGAAAGATTTAGACGGAGAATAAATTTGGACCAAAACCAATGCCACCAATCGTTACGGACCCCAAACATCTTTTAAAATCATAAGCCTCTTTCAAAGAGAGCTCCCCCGAAGAAGAATGCAATCAAATGCGTTTGTTCGGGCGAAGATCAAAGGGGATGTGAAAATTATGAATCTTGACTTGAATAGAAACAAGGATGTCATGGTTATTGTTTGAAAAATCCCATTGCTGCTCTAGAATAAATTCGCTCACGGGACAGTCCTCCACCACCTGATGACTGCCTAAAACCGAAGTCAAGGGATCTCCACACCAGGAATCAAACCAAAAACAGATGGAGTTTCCGTTACAAAGAATCTAAGAAGAATTGTCTCGAATCAAATGAACCTCGTTCTTGACACTAGACCAAATAGAAGAAAATATGTGATGCTTAATGACACTTCTATTTCTCAAAACTTGGTACCGAAGCAAAATTGCCCGAGACTCCTCCGAACTAAGAAGATCCCAATCCAACTTAAGATTAATGGCCTCGTCGAGAGCCACAAACGATCTAATACCAAAGCCACCTTCCGAGACAACTTAAGATTTGTGAATTTAATATAGAAACACCATTAATATGATGGTTATTCTTTTAACTTTTTAAATATATTAAATTTTATTTTTAATCTTTCAAAATATCTTTTTGAGTTTTATTCTCATGAAGTATTTCGTTTATATTATTGATTCTTCCTATTAATGAAATTTGACATGAATGTAAAATTTTTATACAGGTGATTAATGAGAAGGAAGATGATTGATTTGTCACATAAAAATAATGTATATTTTTTTGCTAAAAAATAAAAAAATTATAATTCATTTTTTTCAATTTAAAATTCATAATTCAATCTCTAAAAGTCTATGTAATAACATTTATCTAAATTATTTTTTCAAATAGTTGATGCGCTTATCAAGCAAATTGAACTAAACATATTAAATTTTTATGAGAATACTTTTTCCAAGTTGCCTCTATCACTTTAGGAAAATTCAAAAAGAAAAGAGTCGTCGTCTTGTAGAATTTTGTGCTCGACTTTATAGATAATTTTTAGTTAATTAATTAAAATAATTAATTAATTAATTATTTAACTTTGTTAATATACTTTATTTCAATAAAATAATATTAAATATATTTAAATTGTGTATTAAAATTCATCTAAATCACAATTGATGTGGTTCTCAAATAAATTGAATTATAGGTATTATGTTTTTCAAGAAAACTCCACCTTGGATACATATATGTTATACGAGGAAAATTAGGTACAAATGGGACAACAATTTATTGCACTCACATATGTTATGATGTGGAAAATTAGGTATAGTTGGGATAACTGTATAATTGATTGCACTCAATTGATTGCACTCACATCTGCCTAATTTTAAAATTAGATAGGTTTAAAGTTCTAGCGCGTCCTCTTCATTTTTTTTATACCAATTTTCTCTTCTTTATTATATTTTGGGCTAAATCCCTTTTCAAATAAGACAAAAAAATTACTCTAAACTCGACCCACTATTAACTTCTATCTCAAAAATAGACTTCAAATGACTTAATTGACACCCACTTGATAAAACAAGAAAAAAAATAACACTGAAAAAATATTTAATTTAACTCTAACCGTGCATTTGATTTGTTAAAAATTAGGGATCGGGCATTATAATTTTTTAGGGGATTTCTTAACTCACTCCATGTTATTCTAGCACACCACACGAAAATACATAAAGACCTCTGGAAATCGAAAATGCATTTTCGAGACGCACCAAGATGTGATAAAACATAGACTATTCCAGAAGTTATATTTTGTTGGATACCGCTGTTGCATTTTCGATATTGTGTTACATAGAAACTAGAAAAACTGAATTGAAATACACTAAATTCAGAAATTCAAAATACCATAATTCAAACATTGATATAATAACATAAGCAATACATTAAGGATTTAACATAATTCAAATGTTACACTTCAACGTCCAGGTGGACGTTGTAACATCTTGATAATATCATCGACCGATCTTGCAATAGTCGCATCCAACTCGAGCGAAACTTTTGCTTTTAAAGGGAAAAAGTTCTCCATATAGCCCGTAAGTAAGCACTCGTCTTTAGCTCATGGTTGATAAACTCAAATTTCCCTTCAATGTCAATGGATGGCGAGCGGTACTCGATCTAC